CTTCATAAGCCTATCAACAATGACCTAAATTGAATCATGTCCTATTGAAGTATTAGGTAACCCTATTATAAAGTCCATGGAAATGCTATCACATTTCCATTCTGGAACTTCTAACGGTTGCATCAACCCTGCATGCTTCTGCTGTTCAACTTTTGACTTCTGACAAGTTAAACATGCATACACAAACCGAGCCACACCACTCTTCATTCCAGGCCACCAAAACAAATTCTTCAAATCATGATACATCTTTATAGCTCCCAGATGAATTCTCAACTTGCTCCTATGACTTTCCTCGAGAATCACTTTCTGCATCTCCGCATCATCAGGAATACAGATTTGATTATGAAATCTAAACACACCTTACACGTCTAACTTGAAATCACTATTCCCAGATTGATCTATTCCAACCATCGAATCTACCAGTTGATCCATCGAGTCATCAATTCTAGGAAACAGATACTTGTTCTTAATCGTCACTTTATTCAATTGCCTATAATCAACACAAAGCCTCATACTTCCATCTTTCTTCTTTACTATCAACATTGGAGCTCCCCATGGCGATACACTTGGTCTTACAAATTTATTTTCAAGTAACTCTTCCAATTGCTTCTTTAATTCTGCCAATTCAGATGTAGACATCCTGTATGGTGCCATAGAAACAGGTCTGGTACCAGGTACAAGATCAATAGCAAATTCAACTTCTCTCTCTAGTGGTACATCAGGAATTTCATCAGGAAAAACTTTAGGAAATTCACGCACCACTTGCAATTCCTTAATTATAGCTTGATTCTCGACAGATAGCGACGCCATCAACGAGAACATCTGAACCTCTTCTTGCATCAACTGCCTCAACTGTCTAGCAGATAACAGACCAGCTTCCTCTTCTTCGGGAGTAGAAAACCTCACTGACTTATTATAACAGTTAATATGAACAAAGTTATGTTCTAACCAATTCATACCTAAAATCACTTCTAACCCACTTAAAGGGAAACAAACCAAATCAACAGTAAAGTCTCTGTCGAAGATCGACAAAGGACACTTTAAACACACAAGAGAAGTAGTCACTGATCCCTTAGCTGAAATGTCGACGACCATTTATCCATTCAAAGAAGATAACATAAGACCTAATCTTTCAACACAGTCAGCAACAATGAATTAATGAGTAGCACCGGTATCAATAATAGTAATTAAAAGAGTACTATTAATGAAACATGTACCTCTGATGAGTTTGTCCTCATTAGTCGTTTGATTCTCAGTCAAAGCAAACACTTTTCCACTGGTTTGTGCCTTCTTTGGTTTCTGGAAATGACTACCAATGTGTCCTTCTTCACCACAGTTGAAGCAAATCATCTCTTTATGCTTTCACTCAGATATAACATGTCCAGTCTTACAACAACGGAAACACCTCTTCACCTCAGCCGTACACACGTTGCTCTTATAACCAGGTTTTCCACATTTGAAACAAACCACACCAGTAAGAGCATCTACCCCACTAGTTCTCTGACCCTGAGCAACTTTCTGTTTACCTTTACCATTTGGGGCATCGTAAGGATTACCACGGTTTTATTGGTGCTTACCCCTCTTCTCATCGATAATCTTATACTGAGCATTATTATCCTCTTTATAAATCCTGTAACTATCAATCAAATCGAAAAAGACACGAATCTTCTGGTATATAACTGCCTTCTTGATCTCTGGGCGCAGCCCGTTCTCAAACTTGACGCGCTTTGAACACTCAGAATTTTCCTCGCTATAGTGCGGGTAAAACTTTGCCAACTCAACAAACTTTGCAGCATATTCAACAACTGACATACCCCCTTGCTTCATCTCAAGAAACTTAATTTCCTTCTAACCACGAACATCTTCAGTGAAATACTTCCTCAGAAATTCCCTAAGAAACACAACCAAAGTGATATCTTAACCTGCAGCTTCCAATTTCTGACAAGTCTCTAGCCACCAGTCATCAACCTCGACTGTTAGCATATGGGTACCATATCGAACCTTCTGCACTGGAGTGCAATCCATCACACAGAATATTCTCTCAATCTCTTTAAACCAATCCAACGCTCCGTCAGGATCATACTTACCCTTGAAGGTAGGCGGATTCTCCCTCTGGAAGGTCGCCAAACTACGAGATCCAGCATTCCCGTCAGCGTTCAGATGATTCTCCATAGCATGCACCATCGCTTCCAAAGCAGCGGCAAGTGCATCGTTATTCCTTCCAGCCATCTCAACTTATCACTACAACATAAATAACGATTAGAACTCAAGTTAATAATACTTAATTGTTAGATAAACTACGAATCGACAACTTGGTCGGATGGATCGACTTGCTCTGAAACCACTAATGTAACACCCCATTTCTATCCAGCAAATTATATGAAATCATAGTTTCAAAATTTCTAACGAATAAATGAGATGCTACACATTCGGCTTATAACAATGACGTTTAATTGCATTTAAAATAGATACATAACACTTAAAACTTGGATGAACTAACAACAACATAACTTAGTCTTTTAAAACCAACAACTTTCATAACTACGCAGCCGAATCATAACATTCGACTTAAAAAGAATGTAACATCTTTATCCAACTGAAACAACTTCTAAACAACTAGTACTTAAAAAAAATCAACTTAAAATTCAGCAACAGAAGTAAAATCAGCAATAGAGTAATAAGTGTTCATCCCCCCCTCCCCCCCCCGAGTATTACGTATCAGAGAAATGACACCGACTTAAACTACTGAAGGTAAACCGCTTTCACTCTAGATTACCTGCATGTTACCAACATTAGGATAACATTCAAACAGAATGGGTGAGATATCAAACAATATAATCAGATGTATGATAAATAATATATTAGAATTAGATCATACAAAATCACCATTTCATAGCTTTTAACGACATCCATTACAACTATGTCATCAACATAATATCACAACAAATTCATCATTGCAACAACTCAAGATGTAACATGGAATGCGACTCGTTTTTATGCACATGCATGTGGTACCAACGGAGCAAAACTCCCAACTTAATAATTTTACCAATTAATAGAGGCGGCAATAAGGCATAAGCGTTCAACTTTATATTTTCCAATCTAGGCCAACTTGATATGTTATGTATGAGACAACAGTATGAATGTAGTAACAATCAACAACAATTAATTCAACAATGATTCAACACAATTCAACATTGGCCATAAGTCTACAACTTGATATTGTCAATAATTAGAGGCAACACAACAAAATTCATCACTACCGGCAACTTCGCGATTAACAATAATATTGATACAACAACTTAATAATTGTCCCTGCTAAAGCATATTGACTTTGTCATCTATTAATCATACCTGCTATATATGCTAATCTACAATTTGTTTACTTTGGTAAATAACAAATAGTCTCTGCTGTTATTTATTTTTGCTAACTCTGCTACATAACAATTATGTAACTAAATTAAATAACAAAGAGTGTTATAAATAAATATTAAAGTGGATGTCCATGTATTCATGTCTTTCCATCTTGTTATTTCCTCTCGAGTGTTATAATTTTTCATCTTCCTAATGTCCTATAAATAAGAACTACATTTCAATGTAAAAATAACTTCTTTGAAGAATATAATAGAATATCACTTTCTCTCTTATTTTTCTCTCATTCATGTCTATATTATATTGATTAACTTCATAACACAAGAAATTTGTAAGAATTTTTTTTTTAAAGTTTCAAATGAAAAATTAATTTAAATTGTTATTCTTAAAATAATATTTTAAATATTGCCTTAAATAATCTTTTGGTCCATTTAAGTTGACATACTTTTTATTTTCGTCTCTGTATTTTATTTTTCTTAGAAATAATTCTTGAATGTTAAAATCTTTTTAATTTTAATCTCTAAAGATAAAATTCACGGGAAAATATGCATGTTTCTTGCCGATTTTGTTTCGAATTTTCTTGCAGATTTTAACTTTAGAGACTAAAATTAAAAAAAAAAAATTAACATTCAACGATTATTTCCAAGAAAAATAAGATACGGGGACAACAAAAATAAAAAATACACCAACTTACAAGGACAAAAAAAACTATTTAAACCTTAAATATTTTATCATTTTATTATAATTTTTTATATTAAAATTTAAAAATATCACTTAAATTTAAAACTATTTTAAATAATTTTTAATAAAAATCATTTTAAAATGAAAAAAATATAATTTCAAATATATTTTAATCTTCATGATATATATTTATGTTATGAAAGGTTAAAATTAGTCTTTTAATTTTAAGAAAAATGAATTTAATTTTTTTAAATATTATAAAAGACAAATTTATAAAAATTATTTTTGAAAATACAAAAAAGACTCTATTTTATTAAAGATAAAACCAACAGACCACCTAAGTATATGTTTGGTTGAATGGTTGGAACACTTAGAATTGATTCTACATGTGTAGATTTATTTTAATTTGTTTGATTGGTCGCGAGTAGATTTGATTTTGCTTTACATAATTCATTCTACTTGAAAATAAGATTTGTAGCTTTTAAATTTAAACACAATTTTACATTGAAATATAGCTCTTCAACTCACTTTTACATGAATCTAATCTATTGAGTGCAAACAACTTTCCGTTAACTCAATTTTTGTCAGAATCAATTTGACGAAATCAATTCACTCATAATCAATTTTTTTCGCCGCAAAAACCAAACACAGGCACACTAAAAGCGACATCCTTGATTTCACAGTCAGTAGTGTCTCCCCGGACCCTGTTGCTTGAAGGATCACATAGATTCTATTGTTTGAAGAGTTCAAATTACACAAATAATACAAATCTACCCTCAATTTGTGGTTTTCAAATTATACAAGTGGCTCTCAAGAACTGATAATCTTCTGAGATCAAGAACTACAAATGATTGATTCTGGTATAAAATGAGTATGATTCATGATTCATCTCAGCAATCAAATAATTGTACCTACAAAAATTGATATAGTCCTATCTATCTATCTATCTATGCAGAAGACAAAAGAACAGATTCTGCAAATGAGGTAGATCCATTATTAGGAGCACCCTTTATCTTAAGAATAGAAGTAACCAAATTATAAATTTCAACATTCTCAAAAGAAGGTACCTTCCTCCCTCTTGCAAATTGAGGACCATGTCCAATAAAAATACTCCTCATCGAGAAAAACGAATTGTCATAACCATGCGATCCGCCGCATTCTTGACTCTTCTTTTTCTTTTTCTCTACCTTAAACCCTTCTCCAATCAGACCAATAATCGGCGGAATCCGATCACTCGACGCATAATGAAGCCTACTAGGCAAATCTTCCTTCAGATACATCCTTAAATTCTCCCCATTCACAACTTTCCCCGAACTTAACCCTTCGTTCATCTTCGCAACAACATCTGATGAATCAAAACCAGAAGCCGGACGAATCGCGAGTACCGGCGTATGCGAAATGACCCAGCTTTCAGGTATATCAATCCAAGAAACTAAATCATCAAGAAAAATCAACTTTTTATCACAAGTACCAACCATTCCATGATCACCTACCATAATAATAGTAACATCCTCAAAAACTCCTCTTTGTTCTAAACCACTAATCAACCTACCTATCATGCTATCAATCCTGGAAACAGCTTTTGTAATCTCAGGATCATCAGATCCAACTTTATGACCTTGATGATCAGGATCCTCAAAATAAAGTGTCATAAAATCAGGAATTTCGTGACTCGGAAAATCGAAATACTTCAAAATAGAATCAACCCTATTCTCGAAAGAAACAGAAGCATTATAATGTAAACAATATTTGGCAGGACAATTCCATGTACCTTTGTTTACCTCAGAACCAGGCCAGAAATATGTAGAAGCTTTCAACCCATTGTTTACCACAGTTTCCCATATGGGTTCACCAAGCCACCATTTGGGGTCATGGCTGCCCATGTAGAATTGATCACCGGAGATTGGATCTATGAAATGGTTGTTGATGATTCCATGATAAGCTGGGTAGAGACCAGTAGCGATGGAGTAATGATTAGGGAAAGTTAAGGATGGGAAAACAGGGATTAAGCCTGTTTCAGCTTCTGTTCCATTTGAAATCAAACGAGTGATAGAAGGAGTGAAGGTTTTGAATTGGTAACCGAATCGAAAACCGTCGGAAGAGATTAGAAGGACAACGGGGTGTTTGAGTTTGGTGAGAGGACGGGATAGGTTGTTGAAGGGAGAGGTGTTGTTGTCAGTGGTTGCTGGTGGTGGTGGAGAAGATGACGATGAGAAGAAGAGAAATGCGAAGGCTGATGCTGCTGAGAGGGAGATGGTGGTGATGATGATGAGGGAGATGAAGAGGGATTTGTTGTGGGAGGAAGAAGAAGAAGAAGGTGAAGCGTTTTGTTCGGTGTTGAAAGAGAGAAGAGCTAGTGAAGGTGATGATTGTGAGTCGTGTTCTTCTTGATCTTGTGTTGGAATTGGTGATGGTTTTGTTGCAGAGAAAGTATCAGAACCCATGTTAAGGAAAGAATGGTCGACAGATTTTGGTGTATTGTGTTTGTTTAAGGTTGTTGTTGTTGTTGTTACGAGGTTGTGGTTATGGATGAATGATGGATTGTGAAGATAGAGTGAGATGAAAGATTGCTGTCAGAGTGAGACTTGAATGTTTGATTAATGGTTGGTGGACTCTTTTGGAAGATGGCGGAGGGACAAAGAAATAGAGCACGTTCTTTTCTTTTAAAAAGATATTTATTTTAAAACATACAAAAAGTACAAATGAGAGGTTTATTAGGAGGGAGGAAGTAACAAATATCTATCAATGTAATCAATTAATAAATGTATTTTTTTATTTTTAAACTGAAATTATTAAAAAAATGTTACAAATTTTAGAATTAATTTATAGAAACTTTATAATGTTTATAATTAATTATTAAACGAATGCATGCACATGATAAAATACGAATATGATAAAAGAAAATTTGAATGGTAATAGAATAAGAAAAAGTTAGAGGTATACTTTTAGATTAAAATAATTTTATAATTAATAATAATAATGGTATATTTGACTAAATTTTGACTAAATTATATTGATATGTAATAGTTGAATGATAAATTTTTATTAAAGTCTAAACCTATCGTTACTTTAGTAAATCTTTTAAATTAGTTTCGTGGTGATTGTTTTAACTCATATAATTTTTATTTAATTTGCACATAGTGTTGGTGATAATATGTTCGTAAAATTTAGGAGGTACATTCATATAAAATAAAATTTCGTGTTCACCGTAAAAGAATGTATTTTTCACACTAAATTGGTTTAAGTTTCAATTGTAATTAGCTGTTAGTGATAATATCACTTTAATAGTATTCATTTTTGCAATTGGAAAAAAATTTTGTGAATAATCTAGTCCATAAGTTTGAGTTAATCTTCTGGCTATCAATCTTGCCTACTATCTCTCAGTAGACACATACGCCTTGTATTTAACAGTGTATACCCATTTGCACTTTATAATTTTTTTTCATTTGGTAGAGAAACCCATTTCCAAGTATTGTTCTTATCGAATGCCTCCATTTCCTGTCAGAAAATTCCTCAAATAGAGGGGTATGTATTGTTATAGTGTTCAGATTGGTGAGAAAGAATTTATGGATAAGTGAAACGTGTTCAAAGCTTAGGTAGTTGGATAAAAGGTAAAGTGGCTTTCAGTATAATTTCTAGTATCTTTTCTAAGGGAAATTGGAAGATTTAAATCTTTATAGTATGATGGTAGTGGTAGTGGACTTGAGTCACATTCTAGATCATGTTAATGAGAATATTCTTAAATTGAATCATTAGAGTTTGAAGGGCTAATAGAATTTACCTCATGTAATGTCGGATGAGAGTCTTAGATATGAGTAAATTCAGTAATAATCTTTCTTCTTGTGTATATTAAATTCTTCCCATATCTTACATTGGTTTCAACATTTTCATCTTTTCAAAATCAAGTTCAGTTCTAACATTATCACTATTAGTTTCAACATCAACTTTTGGTTTGAGAGTAAGGTCACGAAGCAAGAGAGACTTCTTTATTTACGTTCTTCCGCTGAAGATGAGATTCAACAAAATAACTTTCTTGTTCATAAAAAGTGATATCTCTAGAGACATAATTTATGAGATGGTGGAAGATAATATTTATAACCTTTTTGGGTGGAAGAATATCCTATGAAGACATACTTTAAGACTCTAGGATCAAGTTTCACTTTACCATCACTATAAATATGGATGATGATGTGCACCCAAATATTCTAGGAGTGAGGTTACTAGAGGTGGACACATTGAGATAGAACGAGGATAAGACTTCCAAAACAGTTTTGAAGGCAAGGACAATAGAAGGAAAATGATTTATGAGATATGATGCATTTAAAAGAGCCTCAACCTATTATTTCTTGGGAAATTTATTTTGAAATATAATAGCATGTGATTGGTCTAAAAATACTTATTTTTTGTCTCAACAATGTCATTTTATTAAGGGAATTTTAACACACAAAGGTTCATGAATGATACTTTCATTATGACACAAAGAATTAAGATTACGATTAAAGTAATCTTTGGAATTATCAGACCATATCCTCTTAAGACTCATACCAAATTGATTTATAGACATGGAGGTAAATTGAGGAAACACATGACTAACTTCATATTTTTGTTTAAGTAAGTAGACCCAAGTAAGCAGAGTACAATATGTTAGTGCGTAAGACACTTTTAGTGAGGAGAGAAACAGAAAATAAAGGAAAATAAGGATTATATTATTGTAACGCGGTGGGAGAACTGACTTGAGATGTTTTGCGTTTGATCACAATTATTGCAGATAGCAAGAGTCGCCACCGACTTTTCTTTTATCCAAATAAAAGAAAGAGTGAAAGACCTTTGAGATTATTTTCTTGAGTTCGGGGGGTAGATTATGAAAAGGGAAGGTGTTAGCACCCTTTTCATCCATAGTTATCTATGGGCTATTAGTTTCTTGCTAGATCATTGCTTTTGTTTGAAAGTGTGCTTTGTGGTGGTTTTTGAAAGTATTTGTGAAAAGTGCCTTCGTTTAGGCAAACTGTATAATGATTCTTGTCTTTATAAGAATGTATACAAAGTGTTGGACTTTTGAAAATATTTCATGCTTTGAAAGTGTTTAATGTGTGTTTGGAAAAGATGTTTGTTTTGAAAATGAGCAAGCAACTAGGAATATTCTACTTTACTCAAAAGTCTTTTGTTCGTTTCTCTCTTCCTTTGATATTACTATCTTACCATTGATTGATAAGAAGTTTTATCTTTGGATGTAAAGGGACAGGCGTGGGTCATCATATAGTCATGATAGAAATATTGTGAGATATCTTAGCATTTCTTTTGAGGGACTAAGATCATTTGTAAGGCAACATTCATAGCGTCATAAAGGGACTATGATCTTGTATTTTGATTGTTTTTGCTAAGACGTCTCACATGCATAACATGACCATTTTTAGGCAATAAGTGGAGTTAACCCTAGGGGTGCATATGTGAATAGTGTGTTTGATTTGCATGCATTTAATCTTTGATTAGGGGTTGTCTACTTATTGATTTTTATCTTGCCATACATTCCCTATTTTACTAGCAAGCATACAAAAGTAATAAAATGCAAAAAGATAAAATCCTACACTATTACAACCATATTGAATAGCATGAAAATATAAATGCAATAAATAAAAATAAAAGCAAGAAAAATGGGTCTTTCGATTCAGGCAAAAACGCCCTTCGATTCTGCATTTTTTGGCTTCCTTCGATTTGGGGTCTGGAGTCAGTGGAGTCATGCCCTTTGATTTGCCTTTCTGTCTCCTTCAATTGAGGGTTAGAATCAGTGTGGGCACGCCTTTCGTATGGGCCTGGAAGTCAGCATAGTTTTGTCTATCATTTGAGGCTTAAAGGCAGCAAGGTTCTGTCTTCCGTCTGAGGCTTGGAGGCAGCAAGGTCTGTCTTTCGTCTGAGGCCTGGAAACAACAAGGTTCTGTCTTTCGTTTGAGGCTTAGAAGCAGCAAGGTTCTGGCTTTGCCACAAGCTCCTTGCTGACTCCTTGTAAGCATATTAAGCCCTCAGATTGTGATTCGAAAGGCTTGTACATCTAGCCAATCGAAGGGTATAACAAACCTGTCTTAAGCTCTTAAAGTGAAACATCCAAACATAACTACAGTCCAGGGGTTAGCACAAAAAACCAATGGATCTCAAAGTCCAAAGCCTAACTAATTAAGGTTGAGTTTTCAGCATATGGGCAGTCAGAATCGAAAGTTAAAACATGGTCTAGAAATATCTACATTTTTCTTTATTGGCATGTGCACATGATATTTAAATGAAAGAGTTCCAAGTTTAGAGTGAACTTACCTTTTGAAGTGCTTAATCAAAAGAGTTGTAGGTGACTTCTTTGATGATAGAGGGAGCTTCACTGGAATCTTCCTGACGCTAGTTCAGTTACTGCTTGGTTTGGGCAGTCACTGAATCGAAATAGAGTATATGATGGTGATGAGTGAATCGAAGGTTGCTACAGTTTAGGGGAAGTGAATCGAATGGTGCACTACTGAGGTTTTTTTATGAAAAAATCTTAGAGTTTTGAAGGTTTGAGAATGTTGGAGAATTTGAGAATATGGGAGAGTTTGAGTGTTTGAGGATTTTTATGATTTTTCTCTCTAGCAAAAATTTGGACCATTTCTTTGTCAATGGTTTCTCTATTTATAGAGAAAAGGTTTGGGAGTTTGAACAAAGATGTGGCTTGGCTGAAACGTGAATATTAAGCTATGTTAGATTTTCCAAGATCCCAAGGTGAAGTACTGAAGTTGTTGGTTAAAAGGGGCTGGATTCCCTGACTTATGGTGGAGTGCAAACAGGATTTAAGCAAAGCATGAGCTTGGGACAGGATTTGTACTAGCAAGTTCACTTTCATAAGAAAAAACTTTCGGACAAAGGCTTAATCACTTGGACAATAGCTTAATCTAAAATGTAAACAATTAATTATGGAGTGAAATACAAGCATTAAAGCCTGTAAAGTAAGATCATGTAGCATGGCCCATAGATTTGATCAATGTTCTTTCAAAAATCCTATTTTCCACTTGTGTCGAAGAGTTCTAGAAATGTACTAAAGAAGACTGCTTTGAAGGATCCACAGTTGGGTTCGAAAGATGCTTATTCGAAGGAAACCAAAACTCCAATTGAAGCTTTGTGTGAAGGTGGCTCTTGTCCAATCGAAGGCTTGCCTGCCAGGGGTTGTAACACTCCAATTCTACCCGACAATTATAAATGTAAATCAGAGTTATAAAATTCATGCAACTGCATCAAGATGCCACAAATTCAACTTTAAAAACACATTGCATTCAACGTGGATACATAACACTTTAAAACTTCGGATGAACCATCAGCATAATAATTTAATCTCTTAATTCAACAACTTGAACAACTACGCAGCGGAACCATAATAACATCTTTGTCCAACAATTACAACAACTTCAAAATAATGCATACTTAGCCACAA